TTCCTGGTGCTCCCTGTGACTTCTGGTTATCCCTGTTTTCATCCCAGACCTCTCTACTACTAATAAGTCTGTTGGCTTCCAAACCCAGAGCCTCTTGTTCAATTATTCGAGACCACAGTTTCTGGTGTTTGATCTTGGCTGGCAATTAAGAGAAAGGGGAAAGGAAATGGGAAGAGGAGTCCTACAGCTTGAATATGTTCCCTGAAAATGTGTTAAGTAATAGGAATAAGAAGGTAAAAACTTGATCCAATTATTATGTTGAAGAGTGGAGCCTTTGGGAAGAGATTGGTGATTGGCAGGTGATTGAGTCCTGGTGGGTTTATAAGGAGAGGAAATAAGGCAGGCAGAGACTCACATGAATACAGACCATACTCTTTCTGCATGTATCCACCACCCTCTCTGCTTTTTTCAGCCATGTTGTGATGTAGCCAGTCTCATGCTGTTGGATTTTCTAGCCACCACAATCAAAAGGCAAACAAACTTCTATCCATAACCCAGTCTCAGGTACTTCTGTAAGACAAGGAGTATGCACAGTCCTCTGGTAGATTCATTGGGCTAGAGGATATCAGCTGAAGGCCACATTTCACATAGACTCTTCGTGTCTCCCGGGGCTTACGCCTGTGCTCCATTGTCCCTGATAACCCCAAGTTCTCTACACTCTTTAGACACCTTCCTGTGCTCTGCAACATCACCTGCCCTCCTACACATGCTTACCATATTGATTGTATTGAAGTTTTTCATCTGCTATTGTGTCATAGTTTCCTAATTTTGCTCTTTTGAGAATACAAAGATGGACAGGAGGGAACTAACAATGGTAACAAGCTCTACTTATCCCGCCCCAGAGTCTGCTGCCAGCTCTACCTGAGGACACATGAGGTCCACCAGAACAGCCCAAGCTCCCACCTCTCTCTTATCTGCCTGTCTCTGTAATAGTGACTCTCGAACTCTCCTTGCTTCACTCAAATGTCCTGAAGGATATTTTACATAGAGATTGCTGACTCCACATGTGTTTTTGATTCAGTGGATCTTGGTGGGACTTGAAAGTCTACATTTCTTTTATTTTTTTAAGTTTATTTATTCCACGGGCATACCCTCAATAGTGTCTCAATGCCACAATCCACTCCTAGCCTCAGCCTGCCAAGGATCATGAGTACACATGTGCCTGGTGTACTCAGAGGGGTCTCTAAACACAAACTTGGAATCTTCCCATGTAGGTCAGCCTCACAGAGCAGTGTATAACTGCTCATCACCACCCAGCTCTGAAATCTGCATTTCTAACCAGCCCCCAGGATCACAGGTTTGCTTTTGCTGCATGCATAACCAGCTGACCTGGCTGTGTGCCTTGGCCCAAGACTTTCAGGGGACTGCAGTCCAGATATTGGCAGAGGCTGTGTCATCTCAGTGCCTGACCAGGGCATACCGTTCTTGGGAGCTCATGCCCATGAATGGCTGTTGGATAGGGGTGTGAGTTCCTTACCACCTGGCCCTCACCGTAGTACTGCTCATGATATGTCATGATATGTCATCAGGCTTCCCTAAGAAGCCATAGCCTTTTATCTGCTGTATGTTATTAGAATTAAGTCACTAAATCCAACCATACCTGAGGAGAGGGGCCAGACAAGGACTGCCAGGAGGAGGAATGACTGGGGTATCTTAGAGACTTCTCCCCACACGGCATGCTGCTGGTCCAAGGGTCACACTTCAAGAACCACTGCTCTAGTTAATAGTCTCAGGACAAAGACCTTTTTCTTTTCTTTTCCTTTTCCTTTTCTTTTCTTTCTCTGAGGATATCAAGGCTCTCTGATGAGTAAATGGATGACATGACTGACCAGGGCATGCTGTTCTTGGGAGCTCATGCCCATGGATGGCTGTTGGATAGGGGTGTGAGTTCCTTACCACCTGGCCCTCACCGTAGTACTGACATTAGCAGCCTCTGAGATGGGGAAGAGGCAGAGAGGGGGTTAATGCTTTCCACTGAGCTCTAGGAAACAATGAAGACAAAGATAGGCACCTAGGACAGTCTTGGCTCCAGTCTGCATTCACTCAGACCCATAACCAAAAGTCTTAAAGTGCTGATACAGCAGAAGGGGAGGATAACTATCACTGATGGGGGAGAGGGCCCAGACAACAACTCGGGTGTAGGCTGGTAGACGACTGGGCGGGGGGGCATGTGGAGTAAGTCCAAGAAAGGAGGCATCTAGTTTAAAAGAAGGAAGTGCATCTCTAGTGGGAGTGCGCCAAGGGGTACACCATGTTCTAATGCAAGGCCCAGATGAGGGTGGCTTGCCTTCCCTATGAGGCTTTATGTCACATACTTCTCTGTGTGGCCTTATGAAGAGTCAACTTTTTATTTATTTATTTATTTATTATTTATTTTTCATTCTGTGAGAGAGGGAGAGGGGAAAATAAAATAACAGAGAGAGGCACCCCTAATAGGGTCCTCACACCACAATCTACCCTCAGTCTTAGCCAGCCTAGATCATGGACATACGCAAGCCAGAATGCTCTGGGAGGTCCTGGGACGTGAATCCAGGAACTTTCCCATGTGTATCCAGCTGCATGACTACTGCACCACCACCTGGCTCCCCAGCTTTCATAGCTAGCATACACAGAGTGCATAATGAGGGCCTTGTATAACGATATGCTTGATTAACATCACTCCTTGTTTGGAGACTTCAAAGGTTTTATAAAAGGATTTAAGGTGTGGGGACCAGCAGTTGGCATAATGGCTATGTCACTGGACTCCCATGTAGCCGACCACGATTCGAGTCCTGGACCTGGTGGCTTAAACTCACGCCAGGCGCATGTGTGTGCGTGCCCAAGATCCCGAGAGGAGAATGGAGGAGAAGGGATTGCGGTGTGGCCATCCCCCCTGGAGGGTGATTTCTCGCTTTCTATCTCTCTGTCTCTCTCTGTCTTTCTGGCAAGCACACATGCACTATAGTGAAAACCTCTAAAAAAAAATGCACTAAAAGAAAAAACTCAAAAAAAAAAAAAAAAAAAAAAAAACCAGAAAAAAAAGGATGTAAGATGTGGTCCTTGCCTGCTTATGGGGAAGTGACTTCTACCTATGAAACCACAGCGATGGATACTGTGTAGACTAGCAAAAAGACATGGGGTCTAGATTCAGGAGACTATAATGACACATAGGGCTGTGGGCACTCAAAGTCACTTAGGCTCTCTTGGTTTATTTCACCACATTTGTGGGACAGGGGGAACATACCAGCTGTTTCTAGCTCACAGAGGAGTTGGGAAGGGAGAACTGGGTGAAAGCACTTTTTAAACCTAGAGTACTATTTTGGAAAAAAACAGAATCACGTTAGTTCTCAACTTAGGTATATGTTAGATTGACCTGAAGAACCTGGAATAAATTTCATTCCCATGCTGTACCCCCAGACCATTATGTAACAATTATCCATCAATCTCCTCCTGCCCTTTCTCTCTTTTTCTATACATATACATACATGCATACATTTTTCTTTCTTTTTAAATTTGCTATAGAGCATGTATGAGAGAGAGGGAGAAATTGAGAAAGCCCCTCCCAGAGGGGATGGCCATGCCACAATTCTTTCTTTTCCTTTCTCCTCCCTGGATTTTGGGCACACACAATCATGCTCCTGGCATATTTTCCAAGCTGAAGGGTCCAGAACTTGAACTATGCAGTTGGCCATGTGGGATCCAGCTGCCTTAATTAACACACCACTGACTGGCCCATATACATTTTTAAAGGCAGACTCTCAAAATAGTTAAAAGAAATTCCACCTTAATTTCCAGCAAGCAGTATGCACAGAGAGCTCGGGGGCCTTCCATAGCAATTGTTGCTGTGAAGGTGTCTGGGGTGGTCATGGGCAGTCATCAAACTTGAAAGAAAGAGTTTCTTCTCCCGGTGGCCACAGATTGATGCTAAAGAACAGAGATGCTGTTAGATGTCTACACTAACTGTTTCGCCAATGTGAGAAAATTTTATTTTGAAATTGCTTCTGCACACTGAGAGGATGCTGGGAGCTTGAGAGACTGAGATATAGCTGTGCCTTGTCAGCTGTCGTCCGTGTCCAGAAGATTGTGCTGTTACTGAAGTTGGCTCTCAGGAGACTGCTAGGGCAACTGCTTTTGCTACAATTATTGACCTTTAATAAAGCATTTCTAGGGCCAGCAGTTTGTGTGGTGGTTAAGGTGCTAGATCCCACATGGCAATTCAAGTCCTGGACCTGGCAGCTTGAAAATCACCCAGGGTGCATGTGTGTGCACCAAAATCTGAAAGGAGAATAGAGAAGAAGGGATTGGGTTATGGCCATCCTCCCTGGGGAGTGATTTCTCACTTTCCCTCTTTGTCTCTCTGTAGTGAGCCCACTTGCCCTATGGCAAAAATCTAAAAAAAATAAAAATAAATAAGGTATTCCCAATGAGCATGCCCAGTTCAGTACTTAATTTGCCCATCCCAATTCTTTGATTGGGGTATTAGAGGTTTCAGAATGTTCAAGAAAATGCATCTTATTGATTTAAGGGGTTTTTGCACTATCAAAATAAACTTGTTTTAATTCCACATTTCCACTCACTTTTTGAAGCCCCATCATAGAAGACTACATTTTTAAAAATTATTTCGTTTATTTTATTTATCATCATTGTCATTTCTTAATTTGACCAGAGCAAGACAGAGAGAGAGAAAAAGTGAGAAAGCAAGCTGCCAGGTCCAGGACTTGAACTGTGGTCAGCCATGTGGGAGTCCAGCGCCTTTAACCACTATACCACCTGCCAGCCCCAAGACTAAATTTTTTGGAAAATGGTCTCCAAAATAGACATTTTAAAAGAAACATAGTTTGTTTTGTTCCTAATCTTTACATTTTCCAAAAGTACTGTGAACAACTTTTGACTGAAATCTGTACTTTGAGAATTCACCAAAACATAGAACTATACCCAAAAGAAACTGGGCCAAGGCCAGACAGTATGCCCCAGGTGTTGTGTCCTCTCTCTCATCTTGAATGTGTCTCTCTGCTCTCCAGAACCACGTGCCTTGGGATGAGCCACCAGGGAGGAGACCCAGCTGCTTCTGCGGCCAGAGAACCTTTCCCTCAGAGTCAGCTCAGAGGCAATTCTCCACTACCAACAGGGTGACGCACGTCCTCCCCTCTGTGTCTACAGAGGATGCCCCCAAAGAAGTTCCTTCCCAGCCCAGGAGCACCCCTCAGCACTCATACATCAGCCGGGATGATCTGTGGCTGGAGAAGACCCAGAGAAAGAAGTTGGAGAAGCAGGCCCAGCTTGTGCACGCAGGGTCAGTGCTCAAAGACCAAGACAAAGTAAGTCGTCTACAGCCAGGCATCCTCCAGCCTGGTCTGGTGTCCCCTCTTCCTCTGCAGACTTTTCTTCAATCTGATGAGTTCTTTGTTTGTTCCCTTTATAAATAGCAATGTTTTTATATTTTTTATCATCAGTTCCTACCTACTTTATGAAAACTCTGAGATCAAATTCACGTAACATGAAATGAACTATGTGAAAGTGAACAAGTCAGTAGCATTTAGTGCAATTATGACATTTTACATCCATCGCCTCTATCAAGTTTGAAAACATTTTCATCACCATAAATGGAAATTCTGTAACTCATTAAAAAGCCATACCCACTTGTACCTCCTCAGACCCTGACAAGCATGAATCTGCAATCTGTACCTGTGAATTTACTTATTCTAGACATTTCATAGATGTAGAATCATATATGTAACCTTTTATGTCTAACTTCTCTGATGTAGCATATTTTGAGGTTCTTCCATGTCACCACACTTATTGGTACTGGTTGAGCATTCCTAATTCAAAAATTTGATGATTCCACTCAGGGAATCATCTCCGTGCTCCAAAATCCAAAATCCAAAACTATTTGAGCACAGAGATGATTCCCTGAGTGGAAAATTCTATACCTGACTCCATGTGATGGTTCTTAAAGTCAAAACATTGCAATACAAAAAGTTGTTTAAAATTACTTTCAGTCTAAGCATATAAGATGTACGTGAAGTAAACATGAATTTTATGTTTAGATTTGGATTCCATCCCTAAGATATTTCATTACACAATGCTAATATTCCAAAATCCCAAATCTAAAACTCTTCTGGTCCCTGTATTTCTTCTTTTTTTTAATGGCTGAGTAATATTCCATTATTTAAGGAGTCTCCATAAAGCTCATGAGAATGTATATTATGAAAAAAATTGCATGGATTTCAAAACTGTTTGTAACAAAATAAAATCTTACTTTATTTCTATTTTTATGAGCTTTTGAAGTCCTATAATGTGGTTATATTTGTTTCTATTTGTTTATTCATTTATCACTTGATAGATATTTATGTTGTTTGTACCTTTCAGCTATTATTTATAGTTCTGCCAAGACTAGTGTACAAATTTTTGTTTGAATACATGTTTTCAATTCTTTTGAATATCCCTAAGAGTGGAATTACTGGATCCTATAATAATTTTATGAGAAATCACCAGACTATTTTCCACATTGGCTACACAATTTTTTCCACCAGCAATGTATGATAGTTGCAGATTCTCCACATCCTCTCCATCAGCACTTGTTTTCTGTATTGTTTCCTTGTTATTTTAATTATACAATCCTAATGGGTATGAGAGGTACTTCACTGTAATTTTTTTATTTCCTCCGAGAGGGTGCATGTGCTCATCAGAGAGAGAGAGACAGAGTGAGGGGTGGAGAGAAAGCAACCCCATGGGCATACCACAATCCTTCTCCTCCATCTCTTCCTCCTTTTGGGATTTGGGGTATGCATGCATACATGCTCAGGTTTTTTTTTCAAGCCACTGAGTCCAGGACTTGAACCATGTTGTTAAACACATGGGATACAGCTGCCTTCATCACCAGGCCTCAGGATGTAATTTGATTTGCAGTTCCTAATGACTAATATTGAGAATATTTTTATATGTTTGTTGACATATTTTATTTGGCGAAATGTCTATTCAAATCCTTTGTCCATTTTAATGTTGAGTTGTTTGTCTTTTCGTTGTTGAGTTGTAAGTTTTTAAGCTTTTCTGGAATAAGACCTTTAGCAGATATGTAATTTGTAAATATTTTCTCCCATCTGTAGGTTATTTTTCACTTTGTTCATAGTATCCACTAATATCCAAAAGTATTTAATTTTGATGAAATCTAGTTTATCTTTGTTTTGTTGTTTGTACATTTGGTGTCATATCTAAGAATCCATTGCCAAATCCAACTAATCCAAGCCTTGTCTGTTTTCTTCTAAGAGTTCTATATCTTTTGTTCTTACATTTATTTTATTTTATTTTTTTAATTTAATATTGGTATGGTGTGAAGTAGTGGTCCAATTTACTGCATGAACATTTAATTGTTCAAGCACCACTTGTTGAAAAGACTATTATTTCTTTTTTTTAAAGGTTTATTTATTTATTTATTTTCATTCATTCTTAATGAACAGTCTTGGAATGCTAGTCAAAACCAAAGGACCTTAGATGCATGGGTTTATTTCTGGACTCTCAATTTTATTCTTTTGGTTTATGTGTTTATCTCTACATCAGTACCACACTATTTTGATTACCATAGCTTTATAGTAAGTTTTGAAATTGAGATGTGAGTCTTCTTTATTTTATTATTATTATTATTTTAGTTTGCTATGGGGTGTGCACTCTTGTTGGAGAGAGAGAAAGTGAAAAATCACATGTACTCAGCATGTTTTGTTTTATCTGGTTTTTAGTTTGTTGTAGGGCACGTGCACTCATCAGAGAGAGACAGAGGGAAAGTGAGAAATCATCCCCCAGGGTGCATGGCCACACTGCAATCTGGTCTCTTCCATTCCCCTGTTGGGGCCCTGGGCATGCACACACACACTCTCCTGGTGTGTCTTCAAGTCTCCAGGACTTGAACCACACAGTTGGCAATGTGAGATTCATCCATCTTAATGTGCACACCCCACCTGTCAGCAAAGTGTTGTTCTTTTTAAAGGTTGTTTTGCCTATTTGGTTTACTTTGGAATTCCATAGAGATCTTTGGATCAACATTTTCATTTCTAGGGGACAAAAAGGCTACTGGAATTTTAATAGGATTCTATTCAAGTTTTTGATCCCTTTAGAGTATTACCATGTTAAGTCTTTGAATCTTTGAACATCAGGTATCTTTTCATCTTCATAGGTTTCTTTGATTTCTCTCAGCACTATTTGTATTTTGCACCATACAAGACTTGCATATCCTTGCTTAAAAGTTTTCCTAAGTATTTTATTTATTGATTTTCTTAAGAGAGATTTTTTTCTATAGGGTGTATGTGCTTTCTGGAGAGACAGAGAGACAGAAAGTGAGAAATCAGCCCCGGGGGGATAGCCACACTGCAGTCCATTCCCCTCCATTCTCCTCTTGGGATTTTGGGCACTCACAGACACTCACCCTACATGAGTTTCAAGCTGCCAGGTCTGGGACTTGAACTGTGGTTCGCCATGTGGGAGTCCAACGCCTTCCCTAGCCACTATGCCATCTGCTGGTCCCCATATTTAGTTTTTTATAATTTTCACAGTAGAGATCTTTTATTTATTTAATTTTTTGAGAGGTTTTTGCTATAGGGTGCGTGCGCTCGCCAGACAGACAGAGAGAGACAGAGAGACAGAAAGCAAGAAATCACCTCCCAGGGGGAATGGCCACACCACAATCCCTTCTCCTCCATTCTCCTCTTGGGATCTTGGGCATGCACGCACACGCGCCCGGCGTGAGTTTAAGCCACTGGGTCCGGAACTCGAACCACGGCCGACTACGTGGGAGTTCAGCGACATAGCCATTACACTAACTGCTGGTCCCACAGTAGAGATCTTTTACTTTCTTGGTTAGATTTATTCCTAGATATTTTATTTTCTCTGGTGGCTATTGTAAATGAGATTGCTTTCTTTATTTCTATCTCAGTCTGTTCTTCATTAATGTACAAAAATAGTACAAATTTTTATATGCTGACTTTGTATACTGCTGCTTTACTGGACTTTTAAAATTATATCTCATGTTTTTTGGGTGGATTCTTTGTTTTTCTATGTATATGATTATGTCACCTCCAAACAGGGACGATTTAACTTCTTCCATTCCAACTTGGATGTCTTTTATTTCATCTCTTGTCTGATTGCATTAATTAGGACTTCCATACTGTGCTGAATAGGATTGGAGAAAGTGAACATCCCTGTCTTGCTTGAGGTTGAAGCTTTGGAAAAACTTTCAACCTTTTCCCACTCAGTATTAAGTTAGCTGTGAGTCTGTTATATATGCTTTATTGTGTTAAGAAATGTACCTTCTACTGCCTATTTTGATGAGAGGCTTTTTTTTCTGATTTTTTAAAAATTTATTTACTTATCTATTTATTTATTTAGTCATTCACTGTACATCAATACAGTATACAAAATACAATTTCCATCCAGTATACATTGTATATTGACTCAATCAAGGATATTACCATACATTTTATCATCAACAAATTATTTTCTATTTCTTGTTTCTTATATGTTTTGCTTCCCTCCCCCACCTGATTCCCTACCTCTCACCCTCTGCCAACTGATCCCCTTCTCCCACACTGTCTCTGGTATCTACAGTTGTTTTCCATGCCCTTTTTTTTTTTTCACATTGTATTGACTCACTGAAGATCTTAATTAATTTAAAGACTTTCAATAACAAGCACAGCTGATAAATACATATTTATGAATGCACGTCTGACTTCAGGCATAAATCTCAGTGAGTAAAGTGAACATACTATAAAGCAGCACTTGCTGGGGCTATATAGCTTACTGCAGTCATTAAATAGGTATTAATAGGTATTTTTTAATTCATTTTTTAATCTCAAAAAAGTTTTAGTTCTAATAGCTCATAATCAAAAACTGTTAAGAGAAATTTGCTTAAAACTTAAAGCCAGGAAGAAGGTTAGGATTCAGTTCAAATAGTAGGTAGATGAACCTATCAACAGTTCAAGAGAAAACAAAAATCCTTAAATGTGGATATCAAACCATTGAAGAAAATCGGTAATGTTTCAGTCTGAAGAGAGTTAATTTTTCCATATTTCATATATCTCCATGTTATTTAGGAATCTGATTGGGTATTCACTCTTCCTGATTTATGTAGTTTTTATAGGGGGAGTATTTTTTCATTTGTTTAATTTATTTTCCTATGAGTATGTCTTTGAATGGATCATTTGAGCTTTGGTTCTGGTTGGTTTCAATATAGAAAACTATATATTTTCAGAGACATCAGTGTGTTCTCAGGCCTGTTTTCAGACTCTAGGTGAGGTTAGTGTTCTGTGTCTCACCAGTACAGGAGGTGGAT